ACCTACCAGCCACTCTGTGGGAGAAAGATGAGGCAGTCTGCTTCTGTAAAGATTTACAGCCTTGGAAACCCTATGGGGCAGTTCTACTCCGTCCTGTAGGGTCACTATGAGTGGGAATCGACTTGAGAGCACTGGCTTATATTTAAAGTTTAGTCTCTTCAAATATTAATTTCACCTATGTATGTAAACACACTTTAAGTTCCTTAAAAATATGAGCATTCTTTATTTCTAATCAGAGTGAAAGCTTTTATGGTAATTATTCTAAATTTCATGTTTACAATTTGACAGATATTGAAAAGGCTACAAAGCAAGGCTTCAATTCTGCTGGCAAAATATACCAAATATTAACTATACTCATAAAAAATCTAATAAATTCAGGTAATACTTGATAATTAGTGGGAGAGTATAGCCTTTTATAGAAATTTTAGAACACTGAGTAATTAAAATCAGCCCTTTGATACATAAACATGGTTTGTAATTTAGTTCATATGAATGCTTGAACTTTAAGGGACTGGGTTTTCCCCACTGCTAACCTAATCAATTGACCTTAAATATAAATTTATAATGGAAATGACCATATTTTTCATTTTTTGTTAGGTAGTAACTGAAGGTAAGGTTCTATATTTTATTATTTGTTTCTCTCTAAAGGAAAAAAATCAATTCTGCATGTCTTCTGTATTTCACTAGTTTTATCTTTTCTGTGATGTAAGTTACTTTATGAATCTTGTCAAAAATAGAACGGTATCAGAGGACATATCTAACTTAAACCCTCAAACACATTCCAGGCTTCATTTGACTTACTCGGGGATTTCTCTAACGTCCCACATGTCATCATACTCTGCTCTTTCTGGAACCTCTTCTGAATTCCAGATGTTCTTGCTATTTTCCTCACTGATTTGAGGGAAGACTGTAAAGAAAGAGAAGATAAAACTGATGCTGTTGCCTGTTTTTCTCCCCTAAATTCTTCTTCACTCTCAATTTGGGACTATTCAAGTATAACATTTTCTTCTTTTTTCTTTCTTTATTTTTCCCCTATGACCTGGTCCCACCCCTGCATCAACCCCACGGGCAGAGTTGGCAGAACCCCCCAGGGATAACATTTTCTATGTGTAATCACTAGCTTGGTTTTTGGCCAGAACAAGCTAAATTAGTAACAACTACCTTTTTTTGGGGGGGGGGTCAATACAAAGCTAATACATGTTAGTTGTAGAAAATTTAGAAAAGACATACAAGCAAAAAGAAGAAAATTTAAAAATATGCACTTCAATTGTCCAGAGATAATGTTAACATTCTGGTATATAGCTTTATAGTCTTTTTGTCTATACATATATAAGCAAAGAAATTGTTAATGTTACACATCAACTTGGCTAGATGAAGGTTCTCAGTATTTTGACAGACACTATGTAATCATCTTCCATTTTGTGATCTGATGCGAGCAGCCAATCTGTTGAAAGGGGAGTTTCCTTGAGAGTGCAGCCTGCCTCCAGTGTATAAATGGATGTTCTGGAAAATCTTGTGCTTTCTCTCTCAACCTTGCACTCTTTGTCACCTGACCTCTGGTTCTTGGGATGCAAGGCAGCAGAAGTCTTCAGCCTGCTGCCTGACCTACAGATTTTGGGTTCATCAGCCCCTGCAACCATGTGAACCAAAAGAATTCTCTAGCTTGCCACCTGACCCACAGATTTGGGACTTGCCAGCCATCACAGTTGTGTGAACCATTTTTTCACAACTGTGTGTGCCATTTCCATAAAGTAAATTACTCTCAATCTATATACGCATTTCACTGGTTTTGCTCCTCTAGAGAATCCAGACTAAGACAAAAATATTCTATATTTTATATTAAAAAAATCACAAAATAGTTTGATTAGGGTAAAATATTTTAGTTTGTGTTGTGGGCGTGTGTGTGTGTGTGTGTGTGTTTTAAAACAGATTTTCTTTTTTAGAGCAGTGTTAAGTTTACAAAAAAAAAGTGTAGAAAGTACAAAGAGTTCATATTTATTCTCTCCCCCTGCACACTGTTTTCTCTGTTAACACTTTGTATTCCTGTAGTAAATTTGTTATAATTCATGAACCAATACTGACACATTATTATTAACTGAAGTCTATAGTTCACATTAGGATTCACTCTTTGTATGTA